TTAATTTACTTTATTTCAAAAATTAATTTGTTTCAATTTTTCATTATATTTAATTGCATAAATTAATTTGCTCTAATTCTAAACTATTTGTATATATTTAACTACTTATAGTATTTCTATATTTTAATTTTTAGTTTAGTATTTTTATAACAACTATCTAATAGATAAGTAAATTGAGCTTTTATCTTATTATTATTATATATATAGACTGAGTTATAATAATAAGTTTTTAAATACTCAGTATGATCACAACTACTAAAAAGTTCATATAGATATTGATATAAACATAAAGTCTGTTTACTGATATTTTATAGCTTACAATAAAGAGAAGTTTAGTATTATATCATAACTTAACTAGAAATATGATGATAATAAAATAAAAGTTTAATTTATTTATTTAACTATATAGCTATAATAGAAATACTAAACTAAAAATTAAAATATAAAATAAATAAATAATTTAATATATATAAATAATTAAAATTAAAGTAGATTAATTTTATCTTATATTATCATCAACTATACTAATAATTGATATTAAAATAAATCAATTTTATTTTATATTATCTATAATTATACTATATTAATAACTTATTTATCTTTATATTTATATATTTTTTATATAAAACGCCACTTTTTAGTATAATATATATATTAGTATAATAATATTTTATAATAACTTATTATCTACTTAATAATTATTTATTAAATAATTATAAAGTATATATTTTTTATTATTTTATTATATTAATAGTTTGGGTATTTTAATAAAAAAAAATAAAAAATTGAAATTATTATTATTATTATTTTTATTATTTTTTATATTATCTAAAATATTAAAAATTTATATTATTTAATATTAATAATTAAATTATTAAATAATTACTATATAGCTATAAATTACTTATAAATTATTTTTATTAAATTTTTAAGATTAAGTAATTATTAATATTTTAATTAAAAACTTTATATTATTTTATTAAAGTATATACTATCTGAAATTATTAATTTTAAAGTATTTATACTAGCTGCTTCTTAACTGCTTAATAATTAGTTAAAAATCATTTATCAATTCTTAATATTATTAAGTTATTTAAAGCAGTTATTAAATATTTACTAAATGATTATTAAATAGATTTTAAGTATTTATAATTTAGAAATATAAAGTATAAAAGTATATTAAATCATTTAATTAAGATAAATTATATAAATTTATCAATTTTATTTTCATTTTATTTTTTTCTCTATTTTTTTTTAAATATTATTGATATTTTTTTTTCAATAAAATATATATAAATAGGCTTAATGTTATAATAAAAGTTTATAGAATAGTTTTATTAATATAAAAACTATATAGATAATAAATAATTTATAATATATTATAAAAAATTTATCTGACTAATGTAATTAATTATTTAGTGAGATAAATTATTTACTGAGATAGATCTTCATCATTTAATATCTTTCTAATTGAATATCATTATAACTAGATAGTGAAATCAGTTAATTACATTATAAATTATTCTCTGTATGCTGAAAGTATATATAAATAATATATTTTATAACATCACATTCACTGCATTATAACACTGTTTATTTTTGTGATTATTTATCAAACTGCTCTATTATTTCTCTTTTCTTTGAAATGTATCTTTATATACAATTCATTTTTTCTTGAGCAATCAAGCTCTCTTTCTAATTTATGTATATATGATATCTTTCTCACTTTCTCATTTACTTTACATTTACAGTCTTTAGTTTTTTATTTTCTCTTGTTAAAATAATAGAACTATGCATAGTTATTTAATATCTTTTAACTAGCTTTTCCAGAGCTTGATTGATTGAACTGAGTAGACTCTATATATAGTACTTGAGATATTTCTTAATCTTCTTACTCTAAAGCTTCAGTTATCATATATTATAAGATGTGATAGTGACTTAGATGATTTGAGAGCTATATGAGATCTTTGAGAAGATTGATGTATATATCTGAGTATTAAGCTGAGAAAGAATTTACTTTGAATTGTACAGAGCTAATTCTGTAGCTTTAAATTCACTCTGAATATTCTTTTCACTCAGAGCTGCTGTATGAACTGAAGAATAGATAGTTAAAAACTTATTCTTATTAATATAATTGATGTTAAGTTTCATTCTCTTCTCAATCTCTTTTCTGTATACTTGCTTCAATAAGAAAAAATAAACAACATCTAAAAACTGTAAGAGATAAGAGAAATAAGCTGATATAAAAAAAGAAATAATCAAGTTTTGAATATAAAACTGATCAAATTCAAAATCATTATGACTGCCATGTTCATCAAAAATCAAGAGTCAATATTGACTGATA